GGCGATTTTATATAATATTATATAGTATTTTATAGTATTTTCCTTCCGACCGCGCTCGCGTTTCCCCACCACACCACATGCCGCCGGCTTATCACATTCACACCACCAGCTTATCACGCCGCCGGCACGTTACGGCTAGCCAGTTCTCTAATCTATTGTATGGTCTTGTCCTTACGACTTCGACAAAATTAGTCGCTATACATTTGCAACTTTTTTAGCTTTCTCGAGCTTTACGCGTTTACCGCCTTTTTTACGATCGCCATTCTTGACTTCTCGTTACCCGAACGCATCCAAATTTTTGGAATTGTTGCGATAATCCTGCAACACTGGCAACAAAAGCATTGATGAAATATTTACAAAAAGATTGACAATTGACATATTTTGACAAAACTAACTACGAGGCACAAGTCGGAAGACTTTTACAACAACGTTATAGCCGTGTTAAACATGACAAAAAAATCAAGTATTTTCCATTTTCAATTGCTCAAAAAAACAAAAATTTTTTGTTGCCCCCCCCCCCCCCTTAGAAGTCCTGGCTACGCCACTTTATACATGTACATATATCATATACCTACTTAATTCTTACATTACAATTTAGACACTGAACATTGTGTTAAAAAAATAAATACATTGTGTTTTTATTTATGTTAAAAAAAATTCAATGTTTCACGTTTTTGTGAAATATTTCATACTTCAAACACTAGATATATAGCTATTATATAACATGGCGTCGTTGCCCGGGACGAATCACCACGATAAATTATATTTTATTATTTATTATAATATATTGTGTGTAGACGGCTAAGTAAAAAAAAAAATAGCTGCACGATGGTGTGTGTATAGTATATCGAAGCAGGAGTTGCCTATTTAAACTGTGTAAAATACAGGTACCTACATTTGTTATACGACATAACTAATTTTCTAATGCATCAATTAACTCCTAGTAAACTCCAAAACATCAGAAATATTGTTTAGTATGTGCTTTTATAAAAACCCTCACAATCGAACGTTTAGAAATAAATTAAGTTATAAATGAAAAAGTGCTAACTTTTTAATGGAAATGTATATTAAATTCAGAATCACGATAGCCGTCGTTGTCGTCGTCGTCATAGTCGTCATAGTCGTCATCGCATCAGCGTTGCCAATGTTAAAAACAATATTACTGATCTTATAGATTATTGTATAAATACTCAATGTTTAATAACGATAAAAATTAGTGACATCACAACAAAAACTCTTCGTAAACTACGTGTAAAAATGGCTAAGTAAAAAAAAAATAGAAGATCTTCAAGCACTATAAAGTTATGATATCATGAATATAATATGCTAAGTATATTGAATTGAAGTAAACTTATTTTGTTTCAATAATGTATTTACTTGATGAGGAGTTATTTATAATAGTATATAGGTAAATATTAATAATAATAATATTTTCAAAATAATAACTAGTTATACTTAAATAGTCGTTCGACATTTAATGAGGTATTTTGTTCATCACACTTAGTTTCTTTTAAGAAATAATTCCTCACCAAGTAAATAAATCATTGAAACAAAATAAGTTCACTTAAATTCAATATACTTAACATATATATATTCATGATATCATAAATTTATAGTGCTCCATTTTTACACGTAGTTTTCAAAGGGTTTTTGTTGTGTTTATATATATAGATTGTAATTTGTTAGTTATAACTGTTACAATCAAATAAAAAAAAAACCGAAATAGATTCATTTTTTTATTTATTTAAAGCCAGCAACAACAATTAATTATGGTTTATACTTTATAGTACGATTATGATACACACAATTTGACCTATTACATTAGGTTGTTCAATTTACGTTCATTTTGAATATTTAAAAAAATGTTGGTGTTGTTGCTGGATCTGGACTCGATGCTTCATCAAAATTTTCTACGATTTTAAGCTGGTCTCTAATGATTCTGAAGTTTCAATTTGTGATTTTTTGATGCAGTAAAACGGTATCCATAGTCGTATCCGAGGGTGCCAGGTAGTGTCATAAATCATAATATAGTTAAATGCTTTTGGTATATCAAAGGGAAACTATCCCTAGAACTGATTTGGTTTCGGAGGCTTTTGAAATTTTCGTTTTGAATGACGTGTAGAATGTAGTTTGTTGTATACTTGTATGTGTTTCGATGTTTACGATAACCAGTTACTTATGGAGAAAAATAATTTATTTTATCGAGAAACCACCTCAACCGAGTATAAATGCTTTTTCGAGATTTTTGAACATTGTATTTAGTATAAACTTGTACAATTTAGTTAATCTTAAATATTTAAAAAAAATTTGGTGTTTTCTGGATCTGGACTCAGTGCTTCATCAATATATTCCGCTATTTCAAGCTAGGCTCTAATGATACTGAAGTTTCAATTTGTGATATTTTGGTGCACAGAAATGGTATCCAGTAGCATCCACTAGCTAGGTAGTGTCATAATATGGTTAAATGTTATTGGTATATCGAGGGAAACTATCCCTAGAACTGGTTTGGTTTCGGAAGTTTTTAAAATTTTCGTTTTGAATGACGTGTAAATTGTTGTATACTTGTATGTGCTTCGATGTTTACGACAACCAGTTTGTTAGCGAGAAAAATAATTTATTTTATCGAGAAATCATTTCAACCGAGTATCAATACTTTTTTTCGAGAATTTTGAACATTGTATTTTTGTAAAGATAATGGCCTTCTTCTGTGATTCATTTTTCTTTTTCAGATTTTGGAATAGATGTAACGATAACTTGTTTCCAAATTATTGGAGTTTGATCAGAAATAGATTAATATATAGACTAATTATTTGTAATAAGTTTAAAATATAAATAAATAAGATAATAAGTACGAAAAATAGATTAACATTACATTATGAAAAAGTTAAATGAAACATGATTAATAGTAGGTAGAAAAATAATTACTTATAGATACGTTTTAAAATATAATCATAATAATATATAACTAATAATATGCTAGCTAAAATTTAAAAATTGGAAAAGAGATGAAAAGCTCATATGAAATAACTAAAATTATAGACTTGTATGAAGTGAAATTTATTAAGATATATAACTCTAGGGTGGGCCCCTCCAATGTATGTATGAGCCTAGGGGCCCGTGTGCGCTTCACGTGTTTAAGAAAAATTCTTCTACTATCATTAGATTTACCGCCTTTCAAACATTAAGTAAAATGTTTCCTTACATACCATAGTACTTATCTTTACCTCTGATATATATTTTTGAGTGCCCAATACTGCCCACTATGGGAGCAAAACTAGACAATTTCTTGATTAGGATCAGAGACCTGGCATAACCACCTTTGCTCCTGGGACCTAGCTGATCGATCATCTGGTTGTCCTGCACTCCTCAAGAGGTAACTCTGTTTGGTTTGTGTACTTAATTTTTGTTCTAATGTAGGCTTGGTCTCTACCGACGACGCTTCCAGCCTCGCGTCCTATATCAGTCTTCCAGTGTGATCTACCGGGACACCGGGGGTCGATCATTTCCCCGGTGGTGAGCTTGTCCGCGACCGCTTATTCGTCCATCCCGAAGGTATGGCTTATTTCGCGGCTACCCTGTATATCTACAGGACGTTCCCCCATCCGCAACCCGGGGACGCGCCCGATGTCATGCTCATGCTCACGGGAGTGCATCCGTTTATATTAAACAAATTTTGTTTTTTGTGTTAAATTGGGTTTGAGGAGATTTACCACTGCTAGAAAAACACAAATACCAAATAATTATAATCATGAAATTTAAATAGCTGTTATATCCACTCAACTAACTCAAGACAGTGCCGACGTACCGTAGAATGATTTCAACCAGAGGTTCAACTTTTTCAGCCTCGGAGCCTTTTTTTAAGGAGAAGTTTCTCGTGGAGCCCCAAGAAATATTTAACGTTCATTTGCATTTGCCTGTGTTCTATGAAGCATAATTAACACGAACTGTATACATACGAACAATAAAGGAAACAATAGTTTTAAAAGAACTGGAGAAAATATTGTTTATTATTGAAATCTACAAAATTAGAATAAAACTAGTTAAAAATATTTAAAAATAATACAACGTTACATGTATATCGTATACATCTTGATGTGTGAGTCTTAATGTGAACAATGGGCCTACTTTTTACTACTGAGTTTGTCTATGTCCGGTATCACAGAGGTCAGTTGAAGACGCATATCGTTTTCTGCATCCAAACGTGATCGATATTTGGTTTTTGTAGCTGTATACCTCGAAAAAGCGGTTTCACAAAGATACGTAGTACCAAAAGGCAGTAAAATCAGTTTAGCTTTTGAACTTAATATTGCATGATCTTCCCCTAACTGAGCCCAAAATTCAGATATTGGTTTGCTTTTAGACGATGTCTGATAGTAGCTATCCGAAACCATATCAATAAGAATCTCGTATTCTGCTGCATTAAGAGCTGCTGGTTTTGACGACAATCGGTTCTTGAACATCCTTTGGAAAGTATAAATTCAAATTTTGAAGTAAATTATTGAGGTGTTCTTTAATTACATCTAATAATGATTCATTTATTGTTAATTATTTATTAATTAATTAATTAATTAATTATTTATTTGTTTTCTTGTAAAAAGTTTGAAGTCAATGAAAAACATGTCAGGTCTTTATTGTCGACGCTTTCAATGTAGAATACTATTTTTTTCTTAAGCGCAAAAATGTTATCATTAGCATCAAATATTGTCTTTTGTTTTCCTTGTATAGATGTGCTACATTCATTCATTTTTGAAAAAATATCTGCCAAGTAACATAATTTGCACAACCATTTCTCGTCATTCAAATAATCTGCTAGCAAACTATTATTGTCTTTCAAAATTGAAAAAACTTCCACTCGAAGTTTAAGTAAGCAGGACAACGCTTTACCTCGCTACAACCACCGTACTTCTGTATAACAATGACTTGAATCTTTAGATAGTATTTTGAGCAGTCTACACTGCAAAGGTCGTGTCTTAACATGGTTAATAATTTTGACTACGTTTTCAAGTACTTGCTTTAATAACACTGGAATTTTTTTTCGTTGCGAGGGAATGTCGGTGTAATACACAATGACTACTCGTGCAATTTGGTGAAACTTTTTTGATCCTTGCAACAACGCCATCAACACTACCCACCATGGCCTTTGCGCCATCTGTGCACACGTCAATGCAATTGTTCCATGTTATCGAGTTTTCAATGAAAAATGCATCAAGCATAGAAAAAATTTCACTTCCGCTTGTCGAGGATGGAAGTGGTTTGCAGAACAAAATATCTTGATGAAAAATAGTAGAAAATTCGTTCCGTACAAATGTCATAATCACAGCTATAATCCGGCGACGTCCGTAGATTCGTCAAGTTGTAACGAAAATTTTGTTTGACTGATAAGATAAATTATGGTGTCTTTAACATCGTGTGATAAATCCTGAATTCGACAACGCACAGTATTATTTGATAACGGTATACTTGAGATAAAATTCGCAGTTTTTTCATCGGACATTCATTTCACAACTTACACTAATAGTGGTTTTATAAGATTTTCAGCGAGGGTGTGCAGTTTGCCGGCAAGAGCCAATTCATAACTTACTAAGTACGATGCTTTCAGTGATTTTTCGGAATGTGTCTTTACATGAGATACAAACGTTTTCTGAGTTGCATGGAATTCATCACTTTTTCTTTTGAAATAGTCTGCAGTTTTATTTGCGAAGTCAGGATGAATTTCAAGCTTAGAAGGAACATTGGGCTATTAATAAAAACTTTGTTACATACCACACACTAAGGACGTCCGTCGGAAAATTCAGTGAATCCTATGTCTAAATATGAATCGTCATATTTTCGTTTTTTGTTTCCTTTCCGAATGTCTACATCAGGTGTCGTAGACTGTAAAGCAGAACCACATACGTCATCTTCCGAATGTGGCTCTGAGGAATTATTTTTGCTACAACTATTGTTATTTTCCTTTGATCGATCAACAGTTGTTGGCTGACGATTTTCAAGTCTTTTGAACCACCGTTCCATTTAGTAGAAATACACTGCGTCGTTCGTAAATACGTTAAGTAAAATAATGACAAATGAAAAAATTGAATCAAAGAAAAAATACACGTCCATTGTTCTGTGTTCATAAATACGCACAACAAAATAATCACATGCCCGTTGTTCGTCAATACGCGCGATAAACTGATAAACTGATAAAATAATTTAGTAATTGAGAATCAAACCTAAAGTAAATGGTAGAAATTATCTAGTTTCTAGTATTATCTTAATTCTAAAATTAAATAATTATACACAATTTTCTTATCGGGATTTTACGTAGTACACGTCATATCGGCGAATTATGGAAACTTGAGTGTTGACGAGATTTTTATGAAATATATATTCGTTTTAAATAAATTCAAAAATTTCAAAATATTAATTTTTTGTGTAATAATAAACAGAGCCCTTGGGAAACCATTGTGGAGCCCCAAGGGCTCCGCGGAGCACAGTTTGGGAACCACTGGTTTAAACTAATCTAAATATATCGAATATATCTTTGGCGTATGGTATAAATAGTTCAAGGGTCCCGGTGCCAGTTTTTCAAATTGTCCACAATTCTATAAAATTTGAAAATTAAATTTTATATTTTAGTTGTCACCTCAATTATAAGACTTTTCCACTAATCTACTACCTGTTACCTATTTAGGAAGAGTTGATAGGGTGTATTATATCGAAAAAAATTACTTAACGGGAATAACTCTTAAGCTTTGTAGGATTGTCGGATTTTGATGACTATTTTTTTATCTGAAAGAAGAAGACTTCCCTACAGCCCGCATCGATCAAAATGTTTTTTTTTCTTATGTGATTATTCTACCTAAAAAGTATTTAATTTACACATTATCACAGTTTTATACTACATATATCATACCACCTGCACTAAGGCACTAACAAATTTTGTTTAGCAATACTAAAAAAAAAAAAAAAAATAATCTTTTATAGGTACGAATAATTGCGCTACATACTTAAGACGTTAACACTGGAATATTTGATGCCGTTTAAAATCATAAGGAATACACATAGCAAGTATATTGAAACGCATGCACTCCTTAATTTTTGTTTAAAACAATTTATTTTAAGACTGATGAATTTTCGCTACCAACGTTGAACATTTTGTAAATGGAGTTTCTTTTCTCCCTTAAATAAATAAGTTACACCTTAGATAAGTACACGTCGTTTTCATCTTTAACAACTTCAGTTTTTTTAAATATTCTATAGAAATACGGATTTCTTAATACTGACAAAATTTAACAAAACATGATAAAATAACCCGACAATAGAATAACTTCAATATATTTAGAAATCGATTAATTAGGTAACCATAACGACAAACTATAACTAATTAAATATTGACTCTTTATATTTTGCCATTAAATCTTTATACGCGTTGCACAGGAGATTTTAAACGCTACCTACGGTTCGCCAAAACTCATGTACCATTTTTTCCGAAATGAGCTGTCAAATTAACAATGAAAAAAATTTAAAAATAATAATTATAATAATTATTATTATTATTATTTAACTATTGAATATTTAAAAATTAAACTTGTAATGCTAAACATATAATAAAATATCAAATGTATACATAGAATAGCATATCCATTTAAAATCATTAAATTGTTGATTAATTTAATAAACTAATAAAAAAAGTACATAATTGTAATATTTTTAAAAACTATTGTTTTGAACAAACTATTTTTCATCTATTTTTATTCATTTTCAATGGGTAAAAAATACTTTTTTTTAACAAAAATGTGCTTACTCAAAAATATTAATCAAATATTTTCAAAATTGTATGGTGTATAGGAAATGCTAATATAAACATTCAGTGAAATGTTCATGTATCTTAAGTTATTCGTTTCTGAATTATAACAAAATAAGGAAATCGCTACATGAGAAATCGAGTGAATATCCAATGTTGTAAAAATTTGAATTTCAAACGCTCATAAACATTTAATTTGACTGTTTTATGGTTATGGAATTTTTTTTTTTTTGATAAAAGTAGACGAACTTATAAGGAATCTTGTATTATATTTTAAAATCTTAGGTTTAAAAAAAAAATTTTATGAATTTTTAACTCCAAATAATATAACCTATTATAATATAAGAATCTCGAAAATTGGTTTGACAAAACCTTTGGACCTGGAGACCACCAGTTTGCAGAAAATGGTATCCCTTTGTGACCGTGGAGATACTGCAGAAATGGAAACTACAGTAACCACCTCCAGACCTAATTTTGAAAGAAATTTTATCTCGTACAAATTTTAAACATATTATAACAAGTCCGCGCGTGGGCCTTCCGCCTGTAAATTATTTCACTAAGAGCCGGTTTTTAATAAATCTGGAATATCGGATCAATCCTAAGTGCACCTATCGTTCTATAATTAATTTTAACTACGTTAAGTAATATTAATACTCAAGTAAAATAGAATTTAACTACAACAATACCTTTAGCATAACTTCGACCAGCTGCAGCCACATCTTAATATTGGTTGACTCCACGCGTAAAACTTAGTGCGCTAGGTTCTGTGTCGGCAGCTATTTGAAGTCGTGGACGAAAATCAATTAATTGAAAACATTACTTTACTTAACTTTAATTTAATTTAATTTAAACACTATAATATAAAAACCAAAGTTAAAAAAGTTAAAAACGTATTCGATACAATTATTAAAAAAAAAACACTGTCAAAATATATTACAATATAAATAAACTAATTTTATTCGATTAAACATTTACTAAGTGTTTATCGTCGTCTAAAAATAAATAATATATTCTTCAGATTCCTACTATAATAATAATAAAAATAATATTTATAGCCAGCACAGAATTACAAAATATATAATATTATAATATGTTTATTTAGTTAATAGCCAACACAGTATAATATCAATTTTATAGACGACATAGAGCTTATACATTAACAAAATAATTATAATAATAATAATAATAATAGTTACAAACTATAGTTTATACTGATTAACAATTTAAAATCAAAATAGAATACTAATACATTTTTATATGAACCTAACATTATAACAAAAGTGAATGTTCTTTATAAACCAACATTGCTTAGACTTAAAGTATATAAGTAATCAATTAACACGGATTTTGTTTTAAATTTAGTGATATCAATATTTAATTTCCCATACATAAGTATATTCCTAAATTAACAATATTCAATTTTCCAAAATTTTTGTTTTCATAATTTACAGTTTAAATGACTTAAACACAATATAACATCTGACATGAATATGAACATACACATACATTTATTCGTAAATATCAATATAAATTTATTCGTTTAGTCAATTTCTTCAATCTATCTAAGATTTTAAAATGATTCCTTTTAGATTTTAACAAGATTCCTTCCAACGTTATTTAACTACCTCAAAAAAAAATGTCTATAAGAAATTCAAATTAAATATTTAAGAGCGTTTGAATTTCACATTCGATATTCAATCGATATCTCAAGTAGAGATTTTCATATTTTGTTGTAATTCAAAAACAAATAATTATAAACACTTGAAATTGATATCATATTATGTTTATTTTATCAATTCCTATACTTGATAAAATTTTCAAAATGTACTGACTCGTTTCGATTTGTTTAAGGGCGTTTTCAACGTTCAATAGTTTTTTTTCTATAAATATCAATAAAATGTTTGTTTGTTCAAAAAGATTGAAAATTTAATGCAATGCTTCTTATATATTGTTATATTAGCAGTTAAAAATACATTTGCACTAATTTGTTCACAACAGATGCTGAGGTAGTAATATTGAGCTTTGAGTAAAAAACATAAACAGTTACAGAAAACTCATTACTTATAATATCTATGTAGGTACATAAATACATTTGGTTTATTCTATTATAAAATTATTATCCAGAAAATAAAAATAAAGAAAAATCAATTCAATTCCAACAGTGAATGAAATAATAGTATATTTTCGGTAATTATAAAGTGTACAAAAGTTGTAGAATATGTGTTACTAAGTGACTAAGTATTTAAAAGTCGATTTCTCAACATTTTTATATTTGTGTCACAATTCTTTCTGGGAGGGGGGAAGTGCGGTAATGTGTACATAAATAAACCAATTTTTTACTTTACATCTAAAATATAACCCAAAGACCAACATATAAAATGAATACTTAAGGTCTGAAGATACGCCAAATTATTACGAACAACAATGAATAGTCAATACTAATATTAAGAAGTAATTAATGTATTATCTCAGATGGTGTAATGGTTAACGCAAGATAATCCTTGGGACTAAACATTTTCATTTATT